TGGTGAGGTCGATCAGGAGTTATCTCTATGGAATAATCGCACAACTTGCTCACGTTCCGACCTTCAGAGCCTGATTGGTTTGCTTTCGTATGTTTCAAATTGCGTTCGTCCAGGCAGACTTTTCATCTCACGGATCTTAGAGACTTTACGTTGCCGGATCGACCAAACTGTTTTGGGGCCGGAACGTCCAAACCAGGGCCGGAACGTCTTTTTTTTTACCAGGGCCGGATCGTCTAGAAATCCTTGGCGTCACCCGACTGACTATATGATCGTTCTGTTCAACTGTTAAGCTAGGATTTATTACCGTTATTATCATTATATTGTCACATGATTTGTTTTACCTTATGTGTAATGTCTTAAGTATCTTTATTGTAATTTGTATATACCAATTCGTATATACCGAGGAAACGACCCCGATTGAAGGTCATGTATTTTGTGACGTCACCAATTCGTGTGTAGGTACGGCTTCTAGATCCGTGCCGAACTTTGTCTTGACAGCGCAAATTATACTCAAATAAACGTCTTTGGATGATTTCTGGCACCCAAAATTGATTCTCGACTCAGTCCTAATTACGCGTTTAGGAATGAGGGCTAATCTGCACTGGCTCGGAAGGTTGTAAATGATTAGCTAGTTTGAATTTGCATAACAATACTGACAATGAACGTGCATTCAACGCCACAAGTTTTTTGTTTTTTTAGCCAATCAGAATTCATCTTCCGAGCCAGTGCAGATCAGCCGAGGAATGACCTGGTGATCCAAAATTGACCTCGAATGAAAATACTGCCGCCTACGGCGGGTCCCGGGATCATTGCGTCTAGAAAATACTATCGCAAAACGGTTGGAAATAATAAATTTAACAGCAGAATACGTCCTAGCAATAAAATAAAGTGACTTCTAAGGACTGAACGTTTTTTTGCGAACCTTGTATACGAGTCCCGGTTTTAGTTATAAAACGACGTTAGCTGCACGTTCATGTCCTACCATGGCAACAGCCGAAAACATGATACTAGTAAGTACTTGTTTTTGAGCGGAGCGGATGCCAACCAGCCTACCGGCTTGTTTTATAAACTGGCTTGGTAATTCCCACCACCAATAGTAGACCATGTCACAGCATTTCAAGTACTTTTCCAACAAATCCAAAATCACTCGATAATTTTGTTCACTTTACATTTGTACTATGATTACATTTTAAGTTTTGACAATTTTATGGATACATGTACACTCACAAAAATACACCCAAAATAAGGGAATTTAGTATATAGCCTTGACAAAAAAAGCATAATTTTCTTGTCTTAATATTGCATTTTTTTTCTATCTGTGTATTTAAACTTCATGTGGATATCCTGATGAGATTTAAAGTTCAGTTCACAACTAACGGTTTTGCAATATTAGAGGCTGTGAACTTGTCCATGGAGGCTGCAAATTATTAAATATTGTATTCACTGACATTTATTTTGTATTTACATTTGCAATGAGTTCCACAGTATCTTTTTCTTACTGGTGTGGCTACAGTGACTGTGTAGTGTTTTTGTTTTGTCGATTGTTGTCAGTTGTTTGTTTTGTGTTCTTGGAATTTTGTACAAAAATCAACAGCGGTTAGATAGGTATGTTATTTCCATTATGCAGTATATTGTAGACAGTACTTGTATAC